GCTCGCAGCTGGTGCCCCTAAATCCCGCAGGACCTGAGTTTGCAAGTGTGAGGGGAGGAGAGGGTTGTGAAGTGAAGCCAGCAAGAGAACAAAGGAGGCTTTGCTGCAGAGGGAGGCACCTTCAGCTAAGGCCTTCGGGGTCTGGGGAAGTGACTCACTGGGCCCCGGGGGAAGGACCCACCCATGGGGTTCCTAGAGACTGAGAAAGCAGCCCAGCTGTTGGGCACAGACCCCATGGGGTGGGAAAGGTGGCATTAGTTGGGTGGGGCTTTCCCCTGGGACTCCTGCCCTCCCAGGGGGACCTGGTGTGAGTCCTGCCTGGGGGCCTTCTGGGGAGCCCTGTGCTCACTGGCCTGGCAGCCAGGGCTGTTGCCACCATCAAGGCTGGAGGAGGAGTGGGGGGGCGGTGGGCGCGCAGGCATGGGGCCCTGTCCCCAGTTCACACTCCCATGGGCCCAGCTCCTGGGGACCTGGGCTCCCCAACCCTAGGCAAGAGCCTGCTGGAGCAAGGCCATCAGTGCCACCCAAAGGTGACAATGTTGGCATCTGGCCCTGTCCCTGGGCTCACTGGACACCTGTGATGAGAACGTGGAGAACCCCGGCTTCTCGGGCTGTTGCACAACCTCCCCCAATTATGCTCCGTAGACTGTGTGGCAACCGGGCGAGAATTCCAGGACCTTGTATATACTCGTACAAATCTGCCTTCCTGCTGTTTTGCTGCAGGGCGAGGCGTGTCTCTGTGGGCCCCGGGAAATGGGGGGTGTGTTCGCGTCCAAGAAGGCGTGGCCCGCGTCCGGAGTGGGAGCGGCCGCCCCGCCCTGTTGGTGCAGACTGCTCGCCCCAAACCGCAGCTTCCTCGGGAGCCCTGGACCGCATCCAGGACACCAAAGAGGAAGCTCTGGTGACATTGTAGACACAGGCTTCGAGCAGCAGGCTTGGCCCGGAGCAGCTCGAGAAGTTGGCAGGTGGCGCACCTCCGGCTGTCCATGCAGGGACGTGGGGACCCGTGTTCTCCTGGGAAGGGGATGGGGGGCGGCGGGGCGAGGGTGAGAGCATCCTCCCAGGCGCTTGGCTTGGGCGTCCTGGCCCTTCCCTGGCTCCGCCCCTGCTCTTTAAGACTTTGTCCTGGTCTGTGATGTTTGTGTGAGGAGGTCTTAGGAGGCAAGGCCTGGATGACCCAGCTCCTATCACCCCAAGCAATGGCTCTGGGTCGAGGAAGAGCATCGTCCAGCATGGCCACCAGGCCCAGAGAGGGCTGTCAGGACTGGCCGGGCAGTTCTGTATAATGGAAATACAGACAAAAATCCAAACGCAGCTGACCTCCAGCTCTCTCCTTTGTGTTTCCTCTGGGAGTGTGCCCTCCTCTGTCACTGGGTCTCATTAGAATTTCAAAGAAGGCTTGTGCACCGTGGAGGTGCTAGCCTTGCGAGGTTGTTGGCTCTATGTGTGAATCAAGGAATTGGGGGTAATCTGTGTGATGCCAAGATAAACTTGAAAACTATAATATGAAAAATTCTCTTCCAGATAACTTTATAGAGCCTCAGTCCTCGTGGGAAAACAACTGTCTTCTCTCAGGTTCTTGGGCTGTCTTGTCCCCCAAGCACCCGCAGTGACTGGCACGTGCTGGCCATTCATCAATGGTGCACATCAAGTGGTTGGGGGAGATGAGGACCTTTGCAGGAAGCAGGGACCCTTCTGCTAGCCAATGTCCAAAGCGTGAGCAGCCACATCAGCCCACTCCTCAAGTCAGTTGCATGACCCTAAAATAGCACAAATACTGACCAAGATGTCCTTCCACAGGGAGGTGGGGGGGGGGGTAGGAGGGTGGGAAGAGAAACACAGGAGGCCTTTGTCCTGGTAAGTAAACAGCTGCAAGTGGGGGAGCCACTATTGCTGGCTGCCTGCCACTAGCCATGCCTAGTGACTCCCCACTCGCCTGCAGCTCAGAGATGGTACCTTGAGCTGCTCAGGTGGCTCAGGCAGGTACCTTGCTGGTCTGGCTCTGAGGTTCGAGGAAAGAGAGCTGACATTCTGTGTTCCCAATAAGATCGGCTACGAGCAGGGGATGGGGTTGGAAGGGCTGCCCAGGGGCTGGGGTCTCCGCTCTGCTGAAAGCTCATGGGGAAATGCACCTGGCCTTCCTGGGTCTTAGGGCAGGGACGGAGGCAGGGGCTATGAGATCCAGGGAGAGTCTCTGGTTAGCCTTCCCTTTCTGACCTTCAACTCTCACTGGGGTCGGGTTTCACTTGGGCCACTTTAGAACTCACCTGGCTCCCAGCAGGAAGCCACTCTTAACTGCTACCAATACCTTTCTCTTTCTCTTGCTCCAAAAAGGGTTACCTCATGGGTCCCAATCTCCAGGCAGGGCAAGGCTTCCCTCTACCTGGAGCTGCCCCCTTTGGATGGGGGTGAGGTAAGCAGAAAGAGGGGCAGCCATGTCCTCATAAGTGTTGTGACCTGGCCAAGGCCACCATTATGTAGCTGTCATGAGCTTTGTGGTCCACCCACCTTAAAGTCAAATGGAAGTTATGTATGGCCATCAAACTGGATAATAGTGTCTTCAACACCCCACGTTAGCCCAGGTGTCAAGCTCAAGGCCAGCAGCTGCCCTGTCTGGCCAACAGTTGTCCCTCTAACTGTCTAGATCTCCCATTGGGTTGAACCAAGGGTCCTGCCTCAAACAGAAGATCCTCTGGCTTCTCCCATTTTCGTATGTCCCATCTGTCACCTACTTAGGAGAAACTTGAATCTTGTGTGTCTTAGTGTCCTCCAGGGCCACTGTAGCTGTTTTCCTATTTCTGGAGAGTCAGGAAGGAAGACAGGGCCCAATGGGAGGGGGCCATCCTAGCCTAGACGCAGGTCTGCCTTCTGGATGGCAGAGAGGGTAATCCCCCAACCTCATCCTCATTAGGCTCCACTTGGCTCGGCCAGATTTGTCTTCCCTCGGTCAGGGGCTCAATGGAGATCCTGTTCCCACTCTCACATCTGTGCTTCTCTGCCCATTTTCCAAGTGTACTACTTTGTTTCACACACATGCACACGTGCACACAATCAATGTAGTGCACCCTAGACACAGGGATCAGGGCTGGGGGTTTGGGAGAGGTGAAGGAAGCCCATGCCTTCGCTGCCCTCATTCCCAGGTCTGCCAACATGGTGTAGGCTGGGCTGCCTGGGGACCGTGCAGCCGCTTGGGGCCCAGCCCTCCAGGCAGCTCCTCAGGTCAGGTCAGCATTTGGGACATGGGCTACTCAGGGCTCTTCACTGGCCAAGCCAAGTCCCAAGTGTGAGGAGTGCTTTCAGAATCATCGAAGCCACATACCTTCTTGTGGCTCCCTCCATGGATTAGACACAAAGCATTCGAGCTGTGTAACTTATAAAATAGCCTTTATTTATCCCAACAAACACAGTCAAGTGGTAGCTTAAAAAAAAAAAAGAACAACCACTTTTTAAAAGATATGTAGTGTTGTGACCTGGCTTTTGCTTTTGCTTTTCTAATAATTTTTTTAATGTTCATTTATTTTTGAGAGAGAGAGAAAAAAACATGTGGGTGGGGGAGGGGCAGTGAGGGAGGGAGACAGAATCCGAAGCAGGTCCCAGGCTCTGAGCTGTCACAGAGCCTGGTGTGGGGCTTGAAGTTAAGAACCATGAGATCATGATCTGAGCTGAAGCTAGACACTTAACCAACTGAGCCACCCAGATGCCCCTGTGACCTGGCTTTGAGCCCCATGTGAGGACAGTGACAGAAGCCACCTGATGTGGCTTGCCTCGTCCACCCTGCACTGGTAGAGGTTTGGCAGCACTGGCTTATAAGAAATAATCAGTTTTGAGGCTTGTGAAGAATAGAAGAAACGTTTACGCTGCTGGTATCAGATCAAAAGATTGCTTAGAATATATTCATTCCAGAAGTAAAAAATGTTTTAAAGGAATCAATAATGTGTGCTGTTCAAGGGACTGTATATATTAGAATTTTAGAATTACAGGAGCACAGTATTTGTCTACAAAGTCTGGCATTACCCGATTTATGTAAAATCGACTTTCTGATTTTATTCAATTGGTAAAGAATAGGAGTAACATTCAGTAAGGTAGTTACTCTTTTTGTTTTTTAGCACAATGGTTTAATCAAAAAGGTATTTTGCTTGAAAATGCCAGGGAATCTCCCACAATCAGTAACCGTACTGGTCATCACACCAGAAAAAAAATCCAGAAATGCACATGGCACTGAGCTATTTTCACAAGGCTTCTAATAAACACAACACTTTCTCCTCTCAGATGTGAGCCTCAGATGCCCAAATGCAGATGTGCCAACCGCAGGCGCGTTGCTAAGCAAAGGAAAAGGCTAGCAAGTCTGTCCAGCAAATTAGATTGTCTGATGGCGTCTGCTCTGTGGCCTCAGATGGGCTGAGGCTGCTCTGTGCTTCCTTCCGGCAGGCAGGTGGGTTGAAGCTGGTGCCCCTTACCGGGCATGGAAAAGGGTCCTCGCGGGTTAGAATGTAAGGACTTTACGGAAAAACACAAAAAGACTCATTAAAACAGGGGGCGCACCCCTGGACAGAGACCCAGCGAGGTCTCGCCCCGCGCTCCAGCGACCTGCAGTTCTCATGCTGGGGGCTGCGTGTACCCTGGCTGGCCACCTTCTACTGCTCTCTGGGGCTCTAAAGAGGATGCCAACCAACCTCAACCAAAAGCCAGACAGGGGAAATCTCAAACATTTAAGAGTGGGTTCAAAAGCCCTTGGACACCTTCTGTCTGCCTTTTCCCCGCTCACATCCGGTTAGGGGCTGTGAATCAGAATTCAGAATCTGTGCTGCCCAGAGGCGACAGGCACAGCGGAGAGGAAACACCCAAATGCAATAAATAACGGGCCGCTCAGGACCCTGCGCCTCCCCCTCCCCCAGCTACCACTGCAGGGTCTGCTGGTTCTCCCCAGCCCCCAAACCACCCCACGCTACGTGGAATGTGGGACACGGCTGCTGCTTCTGCACAGGACGGAGCCTGAGTCATTCGCTTTATAGCATCATTTATGGCATGAACTAGGAACGTAATGTGTTTACACAAACACACGACAATTGTACATCGGCATCTTTACAATATTAAAGGAGTCATATACAAGTCTACAGGCATTGTTACACAGCACGGTGCCGTTGGGGGCGCCCCTCCGAGGTCTCCCCACCGGGGGGGGGGGTTGGGGGAGATGGGGAGCCAGCGCGCAGGGAAGGGTGACAAGGCCGAGGTGTCCATCTTTGGGCCTGTCGTCTGGGAGGGAGCAGGTCTGTGAGGACCCCGGGGGCCAGTCCTTGTTGGAATCAGGGGCCAGCAGCCCCAGGTATGCCTTGTGTCCCAGTCTTATTGGCTGGCTGGAACAGTTTAATGCAAATTCAGTGTGCATATTAGTGTGGGGAAATCGGAGCTGGGGACGGCTTCCTGAGCTGGGGACCTGAAGAACGCTGACACATGGGCCCCTTTGCCGTGGGGCCCGTTCCTGAGGTAAGGATGCGGTGTGGCCCTGTGGCTGGTCTGGAAGCCCCTGGGTACCGTTGGGTCAGGTGACTCCCCAAGTGTGGCCTGCACCCTGGGTGGCAGCAAAGGTGAGGGTCTCAGATGGTTCCAGAGCCACCCATCCCCCCACACCCACCCAGCCCTCCTCCGGGCAGCCCTGCCCCCCAGGAGCCCTTCTTCAGTTGCTATGGTGTCGCCACTCTTGCATCCATCTCTGGAGCAGGGGCCAGGGGTCTCCCAAGCCCCACTCTGCGGGCCCCTGGGCCACGGGGAGCACGCGGCACATCCAGCTAAGAACTGAGCACCACATGAAGAAGCGTTGGTCCCTGTCGGCCTCTCTGGCTTGTGCAGTTAGTTACTTCCGTCTTAAATACTGTAGAAAAATAAGCCATCTGTGACGCAAGGAGGCCCGGCGGAGTCCGCCACGCGTGGAGAAGGATGAACGGCTCCTCTGGAGCGGGCCGGGAGGCCGCTGCCGACCCTGCCTCGCGGAAGGCTGTGCTGGGCCGGGGAGGCACAGTGCCCCCAGAAGCGTCCCCACCGCAGCATCTTTGGGTCACATCAACGGTCCTTCCGCAGGCGTGCCTCTGGCGTCCCACGTTCTGTTGCCGGGCTCCCTGGGGCTCCCTGGGCTGGCTTTGGACCCTCCAGCCCCACCCTCAGTCTCCTGCCCACCGCTAAGCAGGCACAGGCAGAGCTCCCCAGTGCCGTTTCCGGGGCCCTGGGGGGGACCCCCAGGGCCACATGGCCTCAGGTGGGCACTGAGGCAGGGCCTAGTCCAGGGGCTCCTGCTTTATCCGGACCGCAGTAGGGGTGGGCTGCGGTCGCCGTTCCTCCCGGCAAAGCACATACTCGCTGAACTGGGAGGAATCCACGCCGCCCCCACAGGATGCGGCCACGCTGAAGCCCCTCTGGAACAGCCTCTCCAGGACCTGCCGGGGGAAGAAAGAAGTGGTCAGCAACACCCCGCTGCAGGAGCCGGCCTGGCCTGGCCAGGACAAGCTATGCTCTCCTGACAGAGACGGCCAGGCGAGCATCCACAGGAGGGACAGGGGCAGCCAGACCCCGGGTCCCCTTGAGTGACCAAACCTGGGAGGCTGCCCCACCCTGCCACTCGCAGGGGTCCTCGGACTCCATCAGAGGCAGAAAGAGTCTTTGGGTCCCTTCGCTTCTCCAGGATGCACTGCCCCCTCTCTCTGGAGGCGTGGTCCCAGCCCCCTCCCCCACCTCACTGAGGCCCCACTCAATAGAGACCCTGCCCTTGGCCTCTGGGCAGCCACCTGCTTCCCCGAGCTGTGAGTCCCAGATGGTGTGAGGCCTGGGGGCTCATCAGCTCAAGGGAACTCGGGGTGGGGAGAAGGAGGAGCCCTCTTGGTGCCTTGAGTCTCTACAAGCCTCCATGTCCACAAGCCTCTATGAGGGTGGGGTCTTGTCACTGTGTCTGAGGCCTGTGTCCCACAGGTAGTAAGAGCTGACAGACTGTGGAATGTGTGCATGGTGGGGGAGGACGGGCCTTTCCCCCGCAGTGCCCACTCTGCCCGAAGCCTAAAATAGGAGTCTGCTCTTAGGGCTGGAAGAGCTGGTGCAGAATAGGCCCCATGCATGTGACACCCGGAACTGCCCTGTGCCGCCATCTGGGTCAGCAGGGTGCAGGAGGGGGGCTCCGGGCCACCTCCACTCAGCCCATCTGAACTGCCACTCCTATGGCCTGGGTTTAATGTGAATCTAAAGGAAGATTCTGGGTGTCAAATGAAGCACACTTTGTTGAAAATACTCTGGGCCATTTTTATAGAACATCCTTTTGGGGGAAAAAAAAAAAAAGCACAGATCAATTTTTTTTAAGTCCATCCCCCAGGCGCCATCATTTAATTATGAGCGGGACATAAATTATGCATCGACACATTGTTGCCTTTTCTGTGAGATGGCACAGAGGGCTTCACCATTTCCTGGACCGCGCCTCCCTCCACCCAGCCCTGCTGCCGGAGGGCTGTGGAGAGGCAGGGGTGAGGCGGGCGCGGCGGGCGCAAAGCGCTCACCTGCACGGAGTTGAGCCGGCAGTAGCCGTTGAGCGGGAAGCGGATGACGTGCGTGGGGTCCTGGTTCCAGCCAGCGTTGACGGAGTTGCACATGACGTCCCCAGTCTCGGGGAAAACCTCCTCGATGAGGGCCTTCTCGCCACTGAGCGCGATCCGCTCACCCAAGTCCGGTGTGACCCGCACCACCAGGCAGTCGCAGGCGCGGCTGCGGCGCCGCTGCTCCTGCTCCTGCTGCCAGCGCTCCAGCTCGCGCACCATGGGCTGCAGCTGGTAGTACCGCGCCTCCTCGTAGAGCAGGCTGAAGTCCTGTGGGCATGCGCAGAGGGGGTGGTGGCGGGTGGGGGCCGCTCTTTCCAAGGCCAGCTCCCCTCCGTGTCGCGGCCCTGCCCCAAGCAATTTCGTGTGGACTGGGATGCTTGTACCCATTGTACAGATGGGGGAAACGAGGCTCAGGTGAATGTGTGCAGGCACAGGGGTCTGGCCCTGACCGAAAAGCAGCAGTTGGTGTCCACCTTTGCCAGATACCTTGCACTCTTCCATGTGGCCCCAAGCCCCTGGAGCAGAGGGAGGCTTCTGGAAAGACCGGAGGGCTGGACTAGTGGAGCCTGAGGCTGTGCCTATGCCTGAGGACCTGCTGCCTTCTGAGAATCCCAGAGAAGTGAGGCTGGGCTGGGCACAGAGCACCCTCGTCTGCCCAGAAGGAGCTCACAGCCCAGCAGCGAGGCAGAGCCCACCTCCCTGGGTTGGATTTCCTGCATGCTGTCTCCCAGCCCTGAGGTCTCTGATCATCAGTTACTGACCTCAGAGCCTCAGTTTCCTTGTCTATAAAACAGACATAAAGACTTGGCTCAGAGAAGGGGGGAGGGCCAAAGGGCAACAAAATGCGCCAGGCACCGGGCCCACCCTGCTCTAGCAGGCAGGTGAGGAGGTGTCTGGGAGTGGGCAGCCCAGCTCATGCTGTGTCCCCCAACACATGTGCACCCATATCTGATGCCCCAGCCCTGAATAGCTCAGGACCCATGACTCGGGCCAGTCACTGGGACTCAGCTCAAGGCTGAGCTGGGAGGCCCAACCCCCAAAGCAGGGCCCATCCTGCAGGCCCTAAGTCCCTTCCTTCCTGCTGCTTGCCCCAGCCTCTGGAACCGGTCTGAGGGAAGCCCAATTTCGAGCCCCTACCCGGTCCTGTCGTCTGTCAGGAACCCATCCTGTCCCCCTCCACAGGGGTTCCCCAGGGTGCCGTCCTGGGCATCCACTCTTATCCACACCAGAGGTTTTAAATGGTATCAGCACACATTTTTCTTGATGGACCAGAACTTCTCCACCAGATGCCACATCACCAGTTCCATGCAGGAGTGAGGTGGACACTCCCTCCAGCCTGGCTTACCCCTGGGCCTCCATGCATCCCCCCAGGCCGCGAGCCAACGACCGGGAGGCAGCCTCAGGAATGCCCCCACCCCCACGGATTCATACCGCAGCGCTCTATGGCCGAGTCCTAATGTAAATCTAATCTGCCCCTTGCCTCCATCTTTGCTGCCTCCAACCTGGACCAAGGCCTTCAGGAAATCTCCCTTGGCTTCCTGCTCCGGCCCCTCACCCTCCATCATCTCCACACAGCAGCTATCTTTCTGATCTGCAGATCTGTCATTCGCTGCTTACATCCCTGCCTCCGCGTTCAGGGTAAAATGCCAGCCACATGGCGAGCTGGCCACCAAGATCCTACTCAAACAGCAGCCTCTTTTCCCGGCCCCGTTCCTATAGCCCCAGGCTGACACCTTCTCTCTGCCTCTGGACGGTACCACGTTTCTCGCCAGCCTACCCGCTCACCAAGACCCTCACAGCTGTTTGCCCCTGCTCCTCCTTCACCACCCAGAGCGTCCTTCCCTCTCACCCCCCTGGGGCCAGGCTCTCCATGCTTCCCCTTTACCACACTCGGCTTCTAGGAAACATTTGCTACCCCCCCCCCCCCACTTCCAGGGAATTCAAGCATTTTGTTGTTGTTCAACATCTGTCTTCTCACTAGATTGTAAGTGCGATGGGGACCCATATCTGCCCCAAATTTCACTGTATCTTCGGCCTGACTTTGGTTGTTGGGACCCAGCCTCAGTTGGATGGACGACAAAACAGCCCCAGGGCCATTGGTCCTCTAGGTATAGCAGGGAAGGAGGGAAGGAGGGAGGGAGGGAAGAAGGAAGGAAGGGAGGGAGGGAGGAAGGGACATTTGCTGTTTCGAGCCAGGCCTAAACTTCCTTCCTCTGGGATCCCGGAGCTACGGAGGGGCCCAGCACTGAGGTGAACCCCCGGAGCCAGGTCGGCTGCCCTGGACAGGCTCACTCCAAAAGGGGGTAACCTTTTGTTTAAAAGGTACTGGGTTTGCATCAGGCTTTCCCCTGTAAATTGCTGACAAGGAGCAGGCGTGGGAACCTCTAAGCCCCATATCTCTGGCGCACGACTGTCCTTCAACACAGCAAACGAAACAGGGTAAACGCCGATGCTTAATTGTTCTTACACCCTGATAAATAAGCTAAAAACGTGAGAAAACAAAATTAGTTTAGAAAAACTGATTTAGCCCTCGGCTCCATCGTTTAACTTTTTATGGTTGCCATGACGACCATGGGTCCATTTATGAAGTCACAGCGTCCCCTGTGTAATGCCACCGCACAGGCAGCGCTGGGGAGCTGCCGGCTGCAGACTTACCTTGAAGTCATCCGGGAGCAGCAGTTTTGACGTCCGCAGGAAGCTCAGGACGTAGCGGAAAATCTCCCCATCCCGGTCGATGAAATAATGTTGCTTTAAACTGTCCAGGACGATGGGCTCAGTGCCATTGAAGAGGCGGCTTATTCTGGGAGACAGAGAGGTGGGACGTCTGACGGAAGGGCCCGTCCACCTGCCCCGCCCCCAGCCCTTAGGGTCCGTCCTGCTGGAGGGGCCAGGGGCCTCACGTGGGTAACTCTGGGGCTGCGCCAACCTGTGACAGATGTGCGCATACACCAAGGGCGGCCAGGCCACAGTCCGACGGGACACTGGCACTTGTCGTATACTCAGCCTACACTCACAAGCCACAACCAGAGAGAGACGCACCTGGCTGCAGGCACCCGCCTGCGGATGTATGGAAGGCCTGGAAAACTACAGTGACTCAAAGACACGGCCTCCTTGCCCCATGCACACCAAGCCTTGACAGACAGACCCACCTGGAAAACTCCCACTGACCATCAGCCACCCCAGCCCACAGCCGCACACCCAGCCAACACGTGTAAGCCAGGCAAGATGGTCTTGGGTCCCGCACGTCCACCGCGCCCAACCCCCACGGATGAGCATCAGGTGGGACACACCTGGGCAGGAGGTGCAGGCTCACATGGTCCCCTCCCTTGCAACACGCAAATCACACGCAGACCCAGACACACCCAGGCACAGGACATGCCAGCCAACACGAACCAAGCAGAGACACAGCCACGTACCCTGGACAAACTCACAGGCAAACCATGCACTCACACGGGAGACCCTGGGGGAGAAAGGGAGGCAGGCAGGAGGGACAGCAAGTGCCACATCACACATACGCTCAACAGTGTGCCGTGTTTGCACACGCCGCGGAGTAAACCGTCTACACGCACCACAGTCTACACATATGCACGCCCTCCGGAGTACCCACACGCATGCAGACACAGGTCCCAGCCCAGCACCCTGTCCTCTGAAGGGCAGTGGGTTCTGAGAGAAACACAGGACCTGCAGGATGCTCGTGGGGAGCCCCCAATGCCTGTCCCCATCCACTCCAAGGAGGACCCCTGTGGCCTCTCTGGTGCCCAGGGCAACAGGCCCCATCTGGCTAATTCCCCCAGGCCCAGCTGTGGACAGTTAGGAGCCCCCAGAAGGGGTGGGGACAACCAAGAGGTTGACTCAGGAGCAGGTGGGTGGTTGGCCGGGTCCCCTCAGTGACGGCACCCCCAGACAGCCTTCAGCACGCAGGGCTCCACACCAGCAAACCCTGCCAAGGTGGCGGCTTGCGGGTACAGCCCGGGAGAAAGGTGGCCTGGTCTGGGACTGAGGCCTTCTAGCCCAGCCTGCATGAGCTGGTGCCTAAGCCTCCTGCCTCACCACCCCTACCAGCAAGCACCCTCCGGGGCCACTCCCCTGCCCACCAACAGCTCAGTCCTCTGTCCACTCCAAGTCACTGCTCCACTGTGTGCCAGGACACGTGAGCTGGGCAGAAGCTGGGGGGCTCGGGTCCTCAGAGCCTCTCTCAGAGCTTCCCATCGATACTGTCCCCCACTCCGGTAGCCTGGCACACTCAAGGGCCCGCTCTGCTGAGGAGTAGCCCTGCAGTCAACCGTTCTCACTCTGGGCGCATGGCCCAGCCCCTTCCCAGTGGGGCTGTAGAAAGGGCAAGGCTGCCTCATGCACGGGCGTGAGCAGCTCAGAGCCTATGCTAAGGCGTGGAGAGGCCCCAGCCTATGGCACCCAGGACTGCGGTCACCCAGACACGACTCATCTCAGGACTCCTAAGGCCATGGAGCCCTCTCACCTCCCCAGGCCTGGGGGACACAGCCCCTGCTGGAAAGCCTTACGGGCTTCATGGCCTGTTCCAGCTGCCAAAGTCCCCAAGACCAGACGTCCACAGAGCTCAGGCATTCCACTCTCAGAATGAGGGCCACCCAGCACCCCAGAGATGAATGGGACTAAGCAACACTGCCCGTCCCATGGGCAGTCCTCAGCAGCAAACAGCCGAGGGCCCAGACATGGCAGCAGCCACATGCACAGGCAAGCCGGCAAGCCCACAGCCTCAGTCCCCCTGTGGAACTTTCTCCACTGCTCCTGGCTGAGGTCAGACCTGCTGTGTGGCAAGCAACGTTTGAGGCTAGGCTCTGCCGCAGCTCTCCCTGATGCCAGGGCTGGCTGGGTTCTAGGTGGTCCCGTTGGTCCACAGCTAGAAGATTCTCAATCCACCTTACTTTAAGACTGGTTCTAGACCTTTCCATCAGTGTCTCTCCAAAGGACAAAGGCCCTTCACGCCCTCAGGGTCTGAGGCTACCAAGGATGTGAACAGTTTGAGGGCAGGTTAGGACAATTGCCACAAAAGGACACGCCCCATCACCCCCCATCCCCGCCATCGCCTACAGGGTTTCGGGAGCCAGCTCCTCCTTTGGGCCACCCTCTGAGAGAGGCTACAGGGTTTGGGGATGCCTCTGACCCCAACTGATGGAGGTCTTTTGTTGAAGCTTTGGCTCCAATTTCCTGGATGTTTCAGTGGAAGGTTTTATTAGTAATTTGCTGCTTCCCACGGCCAGCATGGACACCGGCTCAGGACAGTGATGGCAGCAGCTCACGGATGTCCCACAGGGATGAGTGAGGTAGCAGCTCAGGGAGTTCATTTCCAGCCCTGGGCAGCCATGCTCTGCTCTCTATGGGCGAGGGCTCATGGCTGTCCCTGGGCCACCCGGTGGCAGCACTTGCTCCCGGGCGAGCCAAGAACCAGAAGCCCGGGCACAGTCCTGTGGGCACAGGGTCCCGAGGGTGTGGGGGGCCAGCCCCCTGGTCTCACAGCACTGCCCAAGGTGGGACTTTCCTGATACCCAGATTCCCCCGGGGTGACCTTAGCAGTCTTACTTCTCCATCCCTTGGTGACTCATGCATCAGTGCCACCGGGTGAGGGATTGATCTCGGTTTCCGGGATTGGTGAAGAAACATTTTTTTAATTTTAATGATTCACTGAAAGAAGGATGAGAGAGATCTGAGGGGCTCCTGCCAGCACAGCAGCCCCACCCACTTCCCAGGCCCGGCCTGACCCAATGTCCCCTGACTGTCCTATAGGTCACGCCACCCGTTGGCCTCCAGCTGAAGCTTCAGGCCCAGGGAGCAGCCCTGCCCTGATCCAGAAGCCATCCAGGCAAGAACAAGAGATTCATCTCAGAGCCCCAGCCCTGGGGAAAGCCTGCAGGCCGCCGTCCCCTCCAGGCACATCCAGCCACTGAGGGTCCCACATGCCAGATCACTGGGCCACATGGCCTCCGCTCCCCGGCGAGGGGACCTGCCCCACCACAGAGCAGGATGCTGGGCAAGGATGAGCTGCACTGTGGGTACAGGAGGGGGGGCCACCCCTTATCCTCGCTGCTCCCAGGCAGCAGCCTGAGGACACGAACGAGGCAGCCACTCCCCTTAGGCCCGAGCCATGATGGCTCTGGAAAGGCAAGTGTCTGATTTTCAAGAAACACTCTTCAGAGAGGTTGTGGGCAAGGGTTTTATGAATTTCACTCACAAACGTCGTCAACCGATTAAGGGATGATCTATCTCAAGCAACTCGGGAATGCCGCAGAAGGCAAAATTGAAATTAAATAAGCAGAATCCATCTCCCATCCTAGACAGAGCAAGCAAGCTCGCAGGCCACCACTGCCAGTGTGGCCTCATGGCTGCGGCCCCCACAAGGCCCCAAGTTCACAAGTGCCTGCCCCAGGCCTCAGCCTCTGCTGGGCAGAGGGAATGAAGTCTCAACGGCCATCTGTACCCCAGACTCCCCGAATTCTGACCTGGACTCTCTATCCACCTCCGGCATCTGCTCCTAGAGGGAGCACTCCTGCCCCGATGGAGGGCTCCGCCCCAGCCTGCACCAAGCTGCCACATGCTACGAATCCGCCATGCCGAGCCAGCACGCCAGCGCCGAAGCGGAATGACAAGAAAGCTTCCCAGAGATGATCCCTTGGTGTCTGGGGGATTAATTAACTCCTCTTGTTTTTTTTTTAAATGTATAAAACAAGGGCGATGCCCCGCAGCCCTGGCCTCCTGATGCTCAGCCCTCGACGGTAGCCGCCTCGCTGCGCCAGGAGCAAGCAGCCGTGGGCTCTGCGAGCAGCACGTTGCATCCATCATCTCCAGGAGACGCTCGGAGACCCAGCCCAATCTCCAAATGAGCCCTGCTGCTTTGCCAACGGGAAACTGGGTCCCTGGGATGGACATGCCTAAGTGGCAGGAGCAGGGCAGCTGGCAGTGCCCGGCACCTCCCACAATAGGCCCAGAAGCTCCAGGAGCTGGGAGGAGAGCAAGGTGCACTGTTGGGAGGCTCCTGGTCAGACACACGTCATCTACTATCATGGGTATGAGGCTCCTGCTTATCCCTGCCCCGGGTATCCCTGAGCATCCTGGAATTCCTAGCTACCCCCTGCAACTCTCCCTACCTACCCCCCTTCCCCCCAAGCCCAAGGGAGTTGGCTGCTACCCCTGAGGGTCTAGCAGTGGCCACTCAAACACACAAAGATGGGAAATTGCAGCCCCACCGGTCCCTCCCCTTGCGTCCTTAACCAAGGGTTAGAGCAGGAAATGGGATGAAACGCTTCTCTTCGACAGGGTCCCGAGGAGTATGCAGCATGGCTCACAAATGATCCTTTGCAAAGGCCAGGCCTGAGGCTCACTCAAGGGGACCCTGAAGGTACCCAAGATTCCCCCAGCCAGCTGCTGGCCACTTTCAGGTGGGGCTGGCCCTGAATAGGGGGCTCCTGCCGGCGGGTCAGGAGCTCCATCAGGCATGTTGGATGCCACCAGCATAGAGTCACAAGTACCTGTAGAAAGCATCTTTCAAGAGGTAGACTCGGCCTCCCAAACTCTAGTTCCCCAGGTCCAGGAGAGGCGGGCCCTGGAGAGGCTGCATGTTGGCTGGCAGAGGAGACAGAGCCCCCTGGCAGCGGGCTGCAGAGGATGGCACTAACCACCGTGCGCTTGGTGCTCCAAGGGGCTCGGCTCTTACCTGGAGTCAGGGTACTTGGTGAGCGTGGCCAGGCTGCTGGTGTACATGTGGCCACCCACATCGATGTGCACGGGCGCGTTGGACTTGGTGAGCTGGGCTGGCAGTGGGATCCCCTGGGCGGCCAGGGGAGACACGGGCGACCGGGTAAGAGACAACCGGGACATGCTTCCTCCCTCCTGGAGATGGAAACAAGGCGAAAACAAGAGTTTCTCCACGACAGGACTGCACACTCCCTTTTATTGCCAATGTGATCACAGATCTAATCAGATCACTTCTGCCTGTGCCTGATCACATATTCAGCTGACAAATTATGGCCACCACTGTAATTAAGTGTATTTGCATCATTTTCTTCAGAGTACCAGAGGGAAAAAGAAAGATGCTTATTAGCAATAAGAAATCAAGAAAAAAAATTTTCAAGGTGTCAGCCTCCAGGGGCATAAAACAAACTGCAAAATTCTAATTAAAGGTCGCGGGCTTATGTGTTAGATGTGAAATATCCCCTGACAAACGAATCACCAATTTGTGAATTGGGATTCAGGGGTTTTTGCAAGTTTGTCTCAGTAACGAGACACCTCTAAATTAGTGACTTCCTCAGCACCTAAGGCGTTGAGTTTTATACATGTAGTAAATTTCACATCAAATTAAGAGCATTTTTGTTTCAAAAAATACATAATCGTACAGCCAGTCAACAGCCAGCTCTTGACTGTGGCGGCGGGGAGAAAGGGCGGCGGGTGAGCAGGCGGGCGCTGGGGATAAGGGCAGAGAGGGGGCCCCCGGCCGCTGCCCCAGCCCACCCTGCTGGCTCTCACCGCAGTGCCGGCGCTGCCGTGGGCGTGAAGCGAGGACCCGCTCGGCCGCTCCTTGCGGTGAGGCATCTAGGCTTCCATCGCTGCCCAGAGTATCTGTGGGAAGCACCGACAAAACCACAGGGCATTTACTCCTCAGGAGTCGTGGGCGCTGGGTCGCCCAGAGTCAAAGACGCCTGGCTTCCTCCTTTCTGCATATGTTCTCTGGGACCCCACACCACACAGCCCTCTCCAGATTCCACCCGCCACTACCCTATCCCCACGCTCCAAAGCCGTAGCAGCTTACACACACACATTCACACACACACACACACACACACACACACACACACACACACACACACGTGTTTTCTGGGCAGCCCCATGTCTGCTAATTCGGCTAATGACAGTGCTGAAACATATGCTCACCATTATTGCCCCAAAATGTTTCAGAACAAATCTGATTTTCCTGGTATTTTGGTTCAGAGCCATGTTACCAAGCGTGTCTCCTCTTGCATCAGCAGAGAGCCCTGGGGACCACAGCTCAGGGAGGATCCCCCAGCCTCCCGAGCCCAGGACCCTGAACACTGGCTCCACAGGGTTAGGAGGCAGTGTGTGAAAGGCCAGACACAGAGAAGCCTCTTGAGGCAGAAGCCAGGGCACAGGGAAGAGTGAAAGTCACTTAGGAAGCCACCTCTCCCCTAGGGCACCTAAGAGAGGAAACTTATCTTTGTCTGCCTGGCCTCCACCTCTGCAGTTTCAACCCAGACCCCCAGAATGGTCTTGTCTGTGCCTAATGTATTCCAGACCCCCTCAGGATCATACCCCCCAAGGCACTAGAGAGCTGGCCAGAAGGAAACAGACAGCAGTCAGCAAATGGACCCTCTGTTCTGCTCCTCTCCACTCACAAGCGACGTTCTTCTGTGCCAGACCACCTGAAATAAGACTGTCCCTCGTCACTAGAAGCCGCCCCAGGACACTGCAGAAGGGCGGGAGAGGTCTATGCAGCCCCCTGCACTGACTTGAGCCTGTCTCACGGGGCACAGTGAACCCCCTCCCACACACCTAACACACACGCTGGCTCCCACAAGCCTAACCTGGACTTCTCTCTTGCAGGTTTGACTTTGTGCCTTGAAATCCAAACATCCAATTTTAAAACGTGGACCGAGGTCCAATGAGCATCAATACTGCAAATTTAAGTGAGCTTACTCTCTCCTAGGATCTGTTCTGCCCTCAGTGTCCAGGCACGTTCCCTGACATGAAACTGGGGTGGGGTGGGGGTGCTACTAAACAGGGATGTTTAATTTATACTCTCACTGGGGGGGCTACTCAGGGTCTGTGGCTTTTGGCATGCCTGCCTTCTGGCCAGCTCAGAAAAGAAAGGCAGGTCACTTATCTCAAGGAAGTTCTGAGAAACCAAAACAGACCTCAGGATGGGTTATCCTGAGGCTCTGCTGGGGGAGGAGTCACAAGGAGAGCCACACGGAGGATAAAGTGTGCTGGAAGGGATTCCCGTGGAAATTCTATCACGGCGGACTGCGCAATGTTTTCCCAACTACGAGGACACTACTCAAGTGACATTTAACACCAAGTACCCATCACAAAAGCTGCTCAACCCTGTTCTCATCCAGCCTCTTCTCCATCACAAGCACAACCTGAGGTCCACCCGCAAACCAAAAAACTCACCATTGGAAGCCCCAGGCTTTACGCCTCCACGCGAACCTCCAGGGCTGCCTCGGGCGAACGCATCTGTGCTGGACAACGACCCTTTCCCCGACACCACTGCTGAGGTCGGAAGCACAAAAGTGGGTGCAGTAAGAGACGCAAGTTCGTTCCTTCAACACCACCGGCAGACCCACGACCCAGCCCCAGCGCGCCCCGGCCCTCCCGAGGCTCGTCCAAACCGCCTGTTGCAGGGGCCTCCGCGCTGGAGCGTGCTCCAGGGCCTGTGGGTCTCCAAACTGGTTAGGTGTTGACCCGCTTCCCTGAGCTGCGGTGGGAGCCCCGGGTCCCGCGCCTGCCCGCCGCCGCCGCCGCCGCCGAGCCCCGCCCGCCAGAGCGGAGGGAAGCGAGCAGAATGCCACGCTCATTTACACACAAAATGATTTTGTGTCCCATTGTGTTCGCAGTTGTTCAGCTCTCTGGGGGTGATTAAACTGGCTGAGCTGCGGCAGCTTGAGACGATTTCACTAAATCGCTTCTTCGTGAAGTCGCTTCTTTGCTAAGCTGTTATTTTAACCATAAAAGGTAAACAGAAGGCGCCTCGCGAGCTCCCTTCAGCTCTGCGCCCTGGGCGCCAGCCGCGGGCGAGAGTGCCAGGGGCCTGCGGAATTATCCGGGATGGAGGGGGGAGGGCGGCGGGCATGCCACCTGGTGCGCGCCAGCCCAGCCGCAGAGCCCGCCGGCCGGTGTGAACTTCGGGGCGGCCGGAGCCGGCTGGGCCGAGGCCGGCGGCGCCGCGGGGCGGGGGTGGCCACGGAACCCGGAGTGCCTGGCCGGGCGGGGAGGGGTGTGCGGCGGGGGCGGGGCGGAGGACAAAGTTAAATCAAGAGGCAGACACTTAGAGACCACAGATGGGAAGCTCGCCTAATTAAGGACGTAAAAGCGCTTTTGTTCTCAAAGTTTATTGTTGCCGGGATTAAAAAAAAATTAATTGAAACTAATGCTGTTATTCACTCGTGCAGTTAAATTCCTTCATGCACATTTGAGACACGGAGTGAAAACTTGAAGCTTATCTTTCTGCAGTCGAGGTGGGGGGGCAAGGGATGACGGAAAGGCGTTTCGGCTACGGGAAAGGGGCATTTCCGAATGGGTGCCCCGTGCGGGCGTCCAAGTCAGGGAGTACCCACCGGCAGCAGGCGCCTGAGGCGTCCCCGCGAGGCCCGCCCAGGCCCCCCAACCCCGCGCGCCCGGGACCACCACCAGCTCGGCGGCCCCTCCCGCCCCGTCTCGGACTCGCGTGGTGGGCGTCAGACGACGCACATCTGTCCCGTTAGAGACTTTTTCCTCTCTGATTTGGGCGCCAAGCCGGCCCTGTGCTCCCCGAAGCTCCAGAGGCGTGAGCCTGGTGCTGACCCCGGAAACTCGCTGGCCCTGCGGGGCGCTCGGCCCTGCACTGAGGCCCGAGTGCCGGGACCTGCAACACCACCCCCCCACACCCCGCCCCGCGCTGCAGGAAGCTCGGCGCCCGCCAGCGTGGGGAGGGTCCACCCGGGGCCAGGGCCAGCCCACGTGGGCAATCCCCCCTCCCGCGCCAGGCCTTTGTGCTGGGTGCCCCCGCGCCGCCAGCCCCCGGCGCCCGGCGCCGGGACAAAGCAGCCGCCCCCACCCAGGTCCGAACCCCGGCCGAGCGACTTTCTCGGTATCATCGCCACTTTGGGGACAGGGGTGCGCGGCGCTGAGCGGTGGCCGCCCGCGCTGGGCTTACCTCGGAGCCGGAGCGGCGGATCGGGCTCGGGCGCAGCCCCCGCCCCCCGCAGCCGCCGGTCTCGGGCGCCGGGCGCAGCCTGGCCGCCTATGCTCGCTGCGCGGGTCGCTCCGGTCTCGTCCTGGAGTTACTTTCTCTCTCGCCCCCAACCCTCCCCCCACCCACCCCTCCCGCCCCGGCCCCCGCTCCGCGCGGCCCCTCGCGGCGCGGCGCGCCGGGGCCTCCCCTCCCCGCCCTCCCCTCGCCTCCTCCCCTCCTCGCGGCCGCCGCCGCCGCCACCGCCGCCGCCTCTTCGCGCCGCTCTCCGGCTGCCCTCCCGCCGCTCCCACCTCCTCTCCTCCCTCCTCTCTCTCCAGCGGCCTTCCCTGATTGCTGGCGAGAAAACCAGCCCCCCGCCCCAGACCGTAGCCCGCGCCCCTTCGCGGCCGAGCCCGGACGCAAAGGGCAGCGATCCGGCTCCAAATTACCCAGCGCGGCGAGCGCGAGCGGGAGCGCGCGGCGACTCCTGGCTCGGGGCTCGGCTGCGCCGCGGGGCAGAGGATTAGAGTCGCAATTAGCTCCGCGCGCCCGCGCCTGCCGCGCTCGGCGACAAAAATGCGCCGTTTCCCCTCCTTTCGCCGGGCGATTCCCACCCGCCTCTCCCGGAGCCCGCGCCTTTCCGCCGGGGCCTCCGCCAGGACCCTCCCGGGAGCGGTGCGCCCAGGCCCCCGCGCCCTCCGCCGCCCAGCCCCCCGCCCCCCGCCGGCCGGCCACGCGGCGCCCGGGCCTCCTCCGGGCTCGGGAGGGGGCGGGGGAGAAGCTGATTTTAATCATTGTCATTTCATCTGATGTAATATTTCCCCGGGCGCTTTCAGCTGGGCATAAATTTTCGGCTCCCAAATAAGTAACACAGGGCACGTTTCTCACATTTCTTGACTCTTCGGTTACAAAGAGGAGAGCAGCCGCCGCCGCGGCGCCCGGGGGTAGGGGGCGGGACTTGGGAAGAAACTGGGCTGCGAGTCGGCCGGGGCTGGAGCAGAGCCGGGGGCCAGGGCCGCCCCTCCCCCTCCACGGCCTCCCTCCCCGGGTCTCGGCCCCGGCTGCCCCTCTGCCGGGGAGCAGCGCCGCCCGTGACGTCTGCGGACACGCGGTCGGCCACCGCGGGGGAGGGGCGCGCGGGGGGCGCCCGGCCTGCAGCCCGCGGCCAGATGCGCCATTTCCTTTCCGCGCGCGACGCGGCAGAGAGGTCTGCGGCCCAGGCTCGCCGCGGCCGGCGCCTGGGGCGCCCCTGCCGGGTCCCGGGGTCTTTGGCCCCTTCCTCCTCCGCTCCTACCTCCTTCCCCACCTTCCTCTCTCTCCGCTTTCCCTTGCGCCCCGCCCGCCCCCGACCCGCCCCCACAACTCCATTTCCCGACTCCTAGGAAACGGTGCGCCGAGTCTCTAGTGCGCCGGGCCTGCACTGCGCCCCCGTCCGGCTCCGGGGACGCCCGGGCCGGAGCCAGGCTCCCGCTGGAGGGCGGGTGCGCTCCGGCCGGGAGCGGCGCGGGGCCCCCCCTCGAGCTCCAGCCGGACCTCGACGCCCTCTAGTGGCCTCGCTCACGGGGGACGCTCGGGGCGGGGCCGGGGGGGGGATGGCGCGCGTGGCAGGGGGACCGAGGCAGGGCCTGCTTCCCTTCGCTAGGGCACCTCGCGCGTGGAAAGAGCGCACGGACCGCGCTTCTGTAACTTCTCCACGCGGGAATAAGCAGAAACTTTCCTCCTAAGGGAAGGTTTTATTTATTTATTTATTTTAGAGCTCGAACTACAGGAGAAGGGGGGAGATTTTCTCATTAAAGTTACATCCCTGCAGTTAGTTCAATTACTTGATATATGCAGAAGATGTTGTAAATTTATAGATTTAAATAGCTTACAAAGATGCCGCAGGCCCCATCAGTTAATTTCCTTAATTTATGGATTTTTAGCTGCTCCTAGAACGGAAAGGGGGCCTGGAAGTAGGTCAGGGATGTGTGCACCAGCGCCAGCGCGGCCCATGGGCTGCCCACTTAGCTCCCCACGCCCTGGCGCCCCGGGCTTCTGGGCTCCCAGCTCTGGCCTGACAGCACCACTCTGCCCTCCGCGCTGTGGCCAGGCCAGGCCCGGCCCGGAAGGTCGGCTCTGGTAGGTGGTGGAGAGCCCCAAATTTCTCCAGGGCTGCGCGGGGCCACGAAACAGCAAAGCCCCCGTCTACGCTCACCCAACCCGGCCCTGAAGGAATAGACCCAAAGAAGAAACGAAGCAAGTATCCAAATACTTTGATTTCCTGTTTCCTCCCTTAAATGCTGGCTGGGACCACCAATGGAGCAGGGTGTGGGTACCGCAAACTTATTCAGGGACAGAACTTACCCCCTTTCCAAGCTTTGCGGTGCTTGGGGGGAGGCGGAGCATGAGGAAAAATGCACCAGGCTGGTGTTTGAGGGGCAGCCCCACTGAAAACCTGTTTGTCATGGCCCTGGTGGCTCCTAGCGTCCCTCACTCCTCTCTCACTCTCTCCTAAGGTGGCTGATAGAGAGTCTTTGTTTTGTGTTCGATGTGGATGAATATATACATATAAATTCATACTTAAAAGATTGGTATAAACCAAACTGTTTTAGGAAGCCACATGGCAATGTGATTAGTATTGGTATTCATGATTTAACATTTCTTTTCCCACTAGATGAAGTTTCTAAGATTTGCAAGGTACATGTCAAGGACGGGTGTATAAATGGATTTTTATTTATTCACAACTCCAAGACTAATTGCTTCTCTTTGCCTCAAGGCCATGAGATTGGTTTTAATATGACACTTCAAAAGTATTCATGGAACTACAGAGATACTAAGTGTCATTGTTTAAGAGACAAATCTCACTGTGGTACTGGTGACCCTGAAAATAGGATGTTCCACTTTATTTTAAATTCCTACGTGTTTTTTTTTTAAGAGTTTCACTTTATACCAATGATATTAAAAATGCACGATTTAATCGAAACGAGAACTGACCATTTTGCAGGACCTTTATTTCCTTAATATCGCTGGGAACTTTGTTTTCATATTCCTGAATCCTTTTATTAAAGAGCTGAACTTTATGTGTGTGATTAAGAAGAGTGAGTTTGGGTCATAATTTATTCTCAAGTGTTTTAAAAGTTCCTGGCTAAATGTCAACCATCTTTTACATTGAGAGACTTGTGTATGGGTTGTGATAGGCATGTAATGATCTGTGGTATGTAACGCAAGGGTGAGGCTTTGTTTTGTTTTGTTTTGTTTTGTTTTAATTGAAGAGGTATAATTAGGACTGAAAACATATTGAAACATGTTGTGAAATGCATCTGGTTTCATTACTGTGGTCCAAGAGGCGAAATTGGATGTGAATCTAATCAGAATGTCACTTGCTCTATCAGTACATTGGACTAGAGCTTAAACCATTACAGTTTGTATTTTAAAAAGTGGGTTCAAGCCTGTGCTTGCTTTGAGGCCTCTCCGCAGGAGCTCATGTGAAACACGATGCAGGTCAGGCCCTGCATACAGGTGCTGCGGACAAGACCTCAGTCTCCAGATGCTTCCTAGTGGCTTCTGGTGTGATTTCAGTTGTGGCTGTTTGCAGACCGTGTTTAGAAACAAGGAGCTCAAGGGGCGCCTGGGTGGCTTAGTCGGTTGAGCGTCCGACTTTCGCTTAGGTCATGATCTCGCGGTTCGTGGGTTCGAGCCCCGCATCGGGCTCTGTGCTGCCTGCCAGCTCAGAGCCTGGAGCCTCTTTCGGTCTGTGACTCCCTCTCTCTCTGACCCTCCCCTGCTCACGCTGTCTCTCTCTCCTAGAAATAAATAAAACATAAAAAAAAATTAAAAAAAAAAAAAAGAAAGAAACAAGGAGCTCAATAAGGAAAGTAAAAGGAGATCCCGCAGTCTGCTGGACTAACTCAGCCTTCTCAGGAAAGCTGAGACCAGACAGCAGATAAGTAGGCTGAGACAGAGCTGCACAGCTGCTGCCCTGAAAGGGGGGGAGGGGGGAGGTGCTGGGGTTTTACAGTAGGGCTCCTCCCCCAACTCTAGGACCCCCACCCCCACCCCGGGGTGAAAGCCTGGCCCTCTTAGGTCTGTGACCACCTCGAGGCTCAGAGATGGCCCTTGACTAGGATAGGATGGAACTGACACCCACGTGGCCTCCACCCCAGAAATCCTCCTGGTTAGGACCTCAGAGAACCTGGAGACTAAACAGAAAGCTGAATCGTGGGATTTACTTCACACACACACACACACACACACACACACACACACACACACACATCCAAACTGGGTCTCCTGTCAGCTGGAGATCCACTCCTGGGAGAGCAGAGGTCCAGACGTGTCTCAGGGGTGGCACTGGGTGTGGGGGGGTGGTTGGTGGCCAGCATGCCCCTGCCTGTCCTTGAATCAGAAAATACAAGACCAGCAGCTGTCATGGAGCTCTGCCCTGTCCCCAGCACTATGCTCTGTGGGCACTTATGGCTTCTGGTGGGACGGTGAGCAGGGATTGCCTCAGGGTGCCGCAGACCACCCCGTCCTTCCTGCTTCCGCCTGTAGCCCTGGCATTCTGCTCAGAGCCAACCCAGCCTGCTTTCCCTGGGAGCCAGCAGCGGGCAGACAGGAATGACAGAAGACTGAGCTCTCCTGCCCAGGCATTCTTATGTAGTGGTGGCCTGTGGATGGCCTCTGGGGGACCAGGAACCACCTACCCAAACCCTGCAAATTGTTCAACACTTTGCATTTGAGCCTTTTTGCCAAGGGAAGTTTTAGTGTTTTTACCAGACTCTCCAAGGGTCTACCTGAATGTGGGTGCAGAAAAACCAAAGCTACCTCTGAATGGCTTCAAGATGGGGGAAGCTGATTCTCTCATGTAAGGGCAAGTGGAGGCTGAGTGGCCCTGGTGTAGACCCAGGGGCTTAGCAGAGTATTCAAGGACCCATGCTCTCTCCACACACTGATTGGCCTGCCCTCCTCTCTGGTCTCAAGATTCCCTCAGCTCAGTGCTTCACTCCTACTTGGGCTCTCTTGGAAGCAGGGAAATGATCCCATTGGCCAATTTACAAGCCAATCCCTGGGAAAGGGGTTAGCTTGGACCAATCAGATTTAGCCCTTGTCCTGCCTGGGGTTTAGTGTGTGTG